ATAGAATTCTCATCCAATTGGGGTTTGTGACCTGCTTCTTAACAGTCTGTCCTGAGGTTGGTACTCATGTTCTTGAGTTACTGCAGCACAGTTTGACAGGTACACCGAACAGAGAGGCTGGATTCTAACTAACACTGTTGCCCTCATTGTGTGGAGTTAAGTGTATAAGGGAAATAGTTTAGACAGAAGTATCTACTGGAAATAGTTTAGAGAAAAAATAAAAGCAATGGAATTTAAGGTAACTTAGTGTTCTAGGCTCAGGGCCCTTGTCAATGCCTTTTACAAGAAATAGTGCTAAATTCAGTCCTCTCTTGCTGTATGCATATCCCAGTGAAATCAACAGGAGTTGTCCACATGACTAAGGGCAGAATTTATCCACTTTTAACAAAGATGTTTTAAATTGCTGGAGATGTACATTTCTTATTTGGACAAGCTGTCTTAAAGTAGGTGTTAATCAAAATCTGTTGCTAGAGCTCTCTTTCTGCAGAAGGAAAATTCCATTATTTGAGCAGTATTTGACAGAAACTGGTTAAAAGGTACAACTATTTAAGTAGTATATTCAATTAAATCTACAGAAAGTTAAGCTTTGCCTACAATAGCAAACCCAGCTGCTGAAAACAATCTGTTAGCAGTAAGTCCACTGAACTGGTGCTGAAAACAGTAAGTTGCTGTCATCAGGTCTTAAGAATGCTTTCTGTAACCATGCTGAAAACGGTTTTGTCCTAGATACACTAAAATCTATTTAAGCAAATGTTTGAAAAACCCAGTCTCCCGGGACTAATAGAAAAGCTTTCTTGGGCAAATGTCATCAATTTCCACAGAACCTAAACTTTCATTAAAAAAAAAAAAAAGGTTTAACCATCATTATTGAAAAGAAAACCTTCCAAACATGAACAAAGTATAAGCCCATGAAGTAATGTCTCCCTCAGCTCCAGCATCTCTGCAACTGCTCAGGCTCTCCAAACTACAGCAAAGTGGAAACTGATCAGAGTATTGTCAATTTCAATATTGGAATTCCATGAGCCATCAGTGAAACAGGTCAATTTCATTCTGGGGACTTCAGAAAGCTCTGCGCATCAGAGCCAGGCTCTGGAGAGAAGGACACCTTATAAAACAGAAGTTGAGGGAGAAACAATTAGAAGACACCCCTCCTCAGTACAGCTAGGAGGTTGTGGGAGAGGCAGCCTCCTGGCTGCTGAAACGATTGTTAGGGGTCTCCTTTAGTCTACCTCTCCCATAATCTTGTGGCTGCTACTGTTGGACCATGCAAAGCTTTTCTAATATCTGTGAAATTCCCACTTTAAACTGTTGGCACATCAGTCTAACTACAGAGAATAAATGAATTTGTTAAGCTTATTAAGTACATTATTAATTAATAATTAGGTTTTAGAGTTAAACTGCATTAAAATAAGTTGAGTGAGATGGTTAGTAAGTTTGTTTACACTAGGAAGAGCTCTTAACCTCTTTCCACACTCTGGATAAACCCTGTGAAGATCAGGAGAAAGAATTCACACATTTGGCCTAGTTCATACTACTGCTGGAACAGTGCTAGTAACAACTGTTTCAAAAGAGTTGAACCACTGCTGACAGATTTTTCTGAAAATCAAGTCAGTGCGTAACTCCGGAGCACAATTCTAAGGAAAAAACCCTGTCCACGCTGCTCAGGGAACTCAACCTAGAAACAGCTGTACCATGGAGAGGCCTTAATGCTATTGTTTCACTGTGCAGATGAAACAACCCAACAGGGAATAGATATCTATATTGCAAAGACTACCATTCTAAACAAAAGGGTTAGAGCATCTAATTTATGAGTTCAGTAACACAACACCTATGTTCCTAATATGCAAAAATCATTCTAAAACAAATCCACATATGCAATGTCACAAGAAGCGACAAGAGAAAAACAAGTTTGGATGTAAAACATTATGCATTAAAAGCATAGAGAGCAGCATCTGGATTTCCGGAGAGCATGTTTTCCAGACAGCCCTGAAGGGTTTTCAACAGTAATGCTTTTTCCTTTGCCTCACTTAAGGTCACTTTGCATCTATCCACAATTCTGAACAAGCTGTCCAGTTTAAATAATCCATCATCTCCCCATATATTTACCAGTGGGTATGCTAGCTCAGACCCTCACCTTCCCCAGATACCACCTGCACCTAGTCACTTGGGTGCAGCTGTGGTTCTCAACCAGGGCTCCAGGGCCCCCTGGAGGGGGGGGGGCACAAGCACCTTTCAGGGGAGCCACCAAGCAGGGCCAGCATTAGACTTGCTGGGGGCCAGGGTAGAAAGCCAAAGCCCCACAGTATGGAGCTGAAGCCAACACCTGAGCAATGTAGCTTCATGGGGCCTCAGGCAAATATCCTGCTTGCTACCTCTTAACTCGGTCCCTGGCTTTTTTATGCAGAAAACCAGTTATTGTGGCACAGGTGGGCTGTGGAGTTCTTACAGCATGTTCGGGGGGGGGGGAGAAGGGGGTTCAGAAGGAAAAAGGTTGAGAACCCCTGACATGCAGCACAACCCTGCCCTAAACCTCCACTGCCCACCCATGGTCAGGACTGCCTACCACCCCACCCCAGTCAGGTCCTATTGCAGCCCCCAATGTCCCACCCCTCTCACTTAGCCCCTCAAACCCACTCAGCCCGCAGGTCCCGCCTCTCCATACAGCTTCCTCCCTTCAACCCCGTCCTGGGGAGGGGAACCAGATCCCTCCTGGGGTCCCCCTCCTCACCTGGAGTAAGCCCCCCCCCCGTACCGCCCAGACCCCGATCCGCCCAGCCTGGGGCTCACAGCCCCACTGCAGCCCCCCCCCGGGGTCAGGCTCCCCTGTAGCCCCGAGCCCCTCCGCTGCCCGCACCATCCCCATGTGGGGGCCAGGTCCTCCCCCCGCCCTCCATCCTGGGAGTCGGGCCCGCCCCGCGCCAAGGGCCCAGCCCCTCCCCTGCCCGGGGGCCGGAGCCCGGCGCGGCCCCCCGGCGCCCGGCTCCCTGGAGCCCCCCCGGCGGCTAGGCCGCCCCCGGCTCCTCACCTGGGCGGGGGCGGGCGGCTCGCGCGGGGCGGGGAGGGGGAGCGGCAGCGCCTCCGAGGCGGGTGGGGGAGGCGGCTCCGGCTCTCGGCGCGGGCGGCGCGGGACGGGGCCTCTACTCGCGGCGGCGGCGCAGGGCGGCCATTGTGTGACATCATCGGAACGCGACAGCCTCCCGGAGCGGGGCGCCCCCGCCCCCACCCGGCCGGCCTTAAAGGGGCAGCGGCACCAGGG